AACTCCTTCAACAGGGCTGCCGCTGAAGGTGGCACAAGGGAAATCATATACCCATGTGTGTGTTTGCACGTGCAAACTCAGGATTCCACAATTGAAGTTGAAGACATCCACTCAAGGTAGATCGAATTCAGGGAAGTTCGAACTCGGGCCCTTGGCTGGATCGAACTCTCCGCAAAAATTCAACAATTCAAAATTGGGGAGGGCCCCTGGGATTTGACATCTAAGATCTCGCAGCGTCCAGACCTGCAGCTTCTCCACTCGCTCCAACCTACGTACAGTGGAGATGCCACTATGGTAGCCTCAGCTTGCGCCCCCAACCAGAAACAAAAGAAAACTTGATTCATGTCCTTTGTGCGCGGCCTGTTGGGACTCCTTGCCAGGTGTCGTCACAAGGTGGCTCTCAGATTTAAGGCAGTGGAAAAGCTGTATGTGTGAAGATTTGACTGATTTTGCGGGTGTGAACGTCACCGTTGGTCACCTTGTACAAACCGAATTGCTCGGACAAGGCGTGAACTGTTGGCCCCCTGAGCAAGCAACGACAACGACTGACCTGAAAGACTTCGTTCCAGCCAAAGGAGAGTCCCTTGCACCATGTGACAAAGGCAGGGAACTGAGCTGAATGCTTTCAGGAACTGTCAGGACCTCCGAAGAACCTGACATGGCTTCCACAAACCCAAACCATTGCAAGGACATTAGTGGGAGAAGAATCACCATGTACGCACTTGTTTCAAATGTATCTGTTCTGTACTACTTATAGGTTCTCCGGCTTTCCCCAGGGTCTCGGTGGTTTGCAAGGGGTAGTGAAAATCAGCTACTCACTTCTTTGGTGGCTAACAAGTCCCAACTTTTTGCCACTCAAATGCTTTCCCAACAAAAAATATCCGAAGTCCATTCGTGAGATCCCCTATTAAACAGGCCAGAAGTCAGGGTCCTTAAACCCAGAGATGCAAGCGAATCAATCCTTGAAAAGCCTCCTTTGGGTCTCCTTAAAGATGCTTGATTGACAGTGCCCAAGCTTGGCTGCCAACTTAGGTGCAAGCACGGTATACCTCAAGCGCATCTTTGATGCGCAAAGCATATCCTTGTCAGCATTATTCCGCCGGCTGTGGGTTGCTTTCTCAAGCCAGGCATAAGCAGCCATGCAAAATGCCAGGTGCAATTCCAATGATCTAGCAACATCAGCATGAGGAAGGCCGTCACCTCAACCACTGATTCTGCGCATTCCTCTCATCAGCGCAAGTGTAGACCGGTGCATGTTAAAATGAAATGTCCATGTAGTTCAACCAACGACATTGCCACCATGCAAACAAATGCTGGCATGAAGCGGAGTCAAATGACATACAACTGCATAACGCACTCGTGTACGATCAGAATGCATACGCAATGAAGCAGTCGTGCGTGCCCGTGTCAACTAAGCAAGACCATCCAAACGCCACGAGCTGCTTTGCCAATAACAAATGTCCTTTCTAGTTGCAGCAAAATAGTAAATCAAATGCGACTGAGGAAGCCCTTCCATACCTTCAATTCTCCTTTTTAATCTGCTGTAGCGCATCGAGAGAATCTAGCTGCCCTCCACCAAAAAGAAAAACTTTCAAGACTCCTCCTCGCGGCTGTCTATGACGAGGCCTGCACGCGGGCTTGGCATGCAAGTTCAGGCAGCAGGTCTTGCAACAGCTACCCGTTTACTCCACCTGCAACTGTTGTACGCAGACAGCACGCGAGGGAATGGCAACTCGATGATTTTAATCGGGTGCCTCGGCAATGTCGCGAAGCAGCTGCCGTGAAACGCGTCCGCATTCGCGGGCCTGGGCGCGGGGGACACACTGCAATGAGGCAGCCGAACCGTGGTCAAAAATGCTTGTGGCAGGCGCTTTCCTGCCGCAACCGAGCTGACTTGATGCTTGCATTTGCAGTCATTGGAGCTCGTGAGCCATTCTTCAAACATCCACTTTGGCCTTGTGTAGTTGCAAGTGCGCTAGCCCTGGTCCATTGCGTCAAGCCACTCAGGCTGCAGACTTGGCCTTCCTGGCACTGGTGGCGGAGTTGGCAAGCTCACAAGGAAATGGCTGGAACCAGCGTCCATACGAGTGGAAACCGTCCGCAGAGGTCAAAGCGGATGGCAAAGCACGCAAAACGGCGCACTGGGGCCTGTTTGCAGCTCGTGTGAAGCGCATTCACTAGAAGCATCCCAAAACCATGTTTTCCTTCTTGTCCCGCGCAATGGCGCCAGCCAAGTAGACAGCCTGGCCGGAATGGTATGGCCGAAAGGCCTAAAGCAGTCGAGGACAGACAGGAGACATCAATGGAGTTCTTTTCTAAAGGAGGGGGGAACCAACAAAAAAAGGCTCCCGCAAAAAAACAAAAAACATATCTCGCTGACATCTCTCCAACGACGCTTCTGGAAAAGCCCTTCCTGAAGCACCTGCTTGTTCCTGCCCAGGTGCTTAATTGCAATGTGCTCAGAGATGCTCAGTGGCGAGCGTGGTTCCAATACTCGTCCTGACGCTTTCCAAGCAATGCTGCGTGGGGGTGGGAGTAGTTTTCTTGACCGCTCCTGAAATTGCGAGGGGTTGCCTGCAGACTGCAAACACTCTAACTGTGGAGGCTCCCAAATGGCTTACCTGGCACGTTTGAAGGATCTCTTCCTGGGTTCCTGCTGGATTGCGCCTGCCTCGAATGACAACTTGTTGCGGTATCTTCGCAGAGTGATATGGGAAAAAACAGTTGCAGGTAGTTTACATACAAGTTTGTATGTTGCAAAATGGATACGCATAGGTGTATATATATATATATATATGTACTATGCATACGTATATATATATATATATATCGAAATAGATCTAGATTCACTTGCAAGCCACCTGCAATTGTTCTCAAAACAAACTCAATGGTTGTTGAAAATGAGTTGCGGTTGTCCATAATATATTGATTGTCAAAAACACACTATGAAATGCACCTGGTTTTATTGATATGGATTTATTTGTTGGAGGTAGGTCCTGCTTTGTTGGTTTTAGTACATATTCAGGCAACCAATGACCATGGTTGTATATGGTTGCTATTTCCATAATGTCCAATGCCTAATCAAGTATCACAATCATTCCCAGTTGCATATACAACACCTGGTTGTGCTAGAAAAAACATACATCGCTGAGTGGTCAAAGTGTCTACGGTAGCCCCGTCCAACTACTGAGACACCCCAGTGCCCAAGCAAATCCTTGGACTATGGACTCCCCCCTGCGCCCTGCGTATCATGGCTATGGAGTAACCTGTCCTCGACCTCACAGCCACACACCACGGCGGATGGCTAGGCAAGCCCCCCCGCCCCGGCCATGCCTGGGAGTTGTTGGGAACACTGTGCGTGTACTCCACGTGGGGCAGCTCAGGTGCGCCTCCTGACCTACCGTATGCTCAAGGCCAGTCAACCGGCTTGCCCCATTCAATGGAATACCCATTCCTTCATAGACTCTGGCATCAAGCCACCCAATGGCTTGGAGAAACCTGAGTCTGATACTCGAAACTGGGCAATCAACCCCAGCCGTTTGCTTCGAACATTCTTGAACCAACACGACGCGCAGGCAGAGGCCTCAGCTTGTTGGCGCCAGGCCCCCGAATCCCTGCAAATCAGCCAGGCGATCTTTCAGCAAGCTTCGTTAAACAGCGAGCAATTGTGAAGCCTGACAAAAAAAGTGTGATACAAACATATACAGACATACCATTGATTACGATGCTTACCCCATGTCCCATTCTGGAGCCCCGGGCTCCGACTCGTGCAGGGCATCGAAAGCAGCCCTGGCGGGCAGGCGGATAGGTCGATGCTGATCTTAACACGTGTGAAAAAAGATTAATTTATGCGATCGTGCAACAATAGAGCTTCCGACCAAAGAACTCAGCGATCTCGCTGACCTTCGGCACCTGAGCTGTCCGACATGTCCTGTGAAGTCCCTCTATCTGCCCCTTTTACCGCCTTCAGAAAAGTCTTTGGGCACTAGCCTTGGCTGAAGAAGCCGTGCCTGAGAAATTCAGCCACCACCACCAAGAAATCTTAAAATTCAGCAGCTGTCAGACACCTACGATAATATCATACACCGAACTGCGGGCTGACAGCGAGCTTCCTGTCGCTGCGTGGTGCCTGCAGAAAGCTGACATCACAAAAGAGCGCAGGTTGCACGGGTGCACCACCTGACACTTGCGGCCCCTGGAAATCCCAGTTTACTCGGCACCTGCCCTTCCAGAAGAGTCAGCTCTGTTGAAATGATCTGAAAAGGTGCAGTCTGGCTTAAGCTCGCATTTGCAGCAAAAGCCATGCATTGCGCTGCATTTTGGCCTGCGTATGCTTTGTGACGGCAACAAAGAACGTGAGTGCTCAAACAAGTCTACTTGACGGTTGACTTCCTGCTTGTCTAATATCTGTAACTGCTTGCTCGGCGTTCAATCTCTGCCATGTTTCGGTTGCATTAAATCTTCCCTCGCACTTGGCATATGGGGTGCGTCAGCACCTCAGGCATCAACTCAATCATTGGGAAACCACTGCCAGTGCACAGCAGTCGTGGCCAAGTGCCCTCCAATGTTCCTACCAGGCCGGTTGCAAAATGCCTTGTGCGCAGCCCCCTGCACATAGTCAAATGCGCATGCAACTTCATGAAATTGCAAGCAGTGATGAATTATTGGAGTAGTTGTGCACAGGACCTCAGGAGAGAAGTACTCATGTCAAATGCGTGCTCGAATAAGGAAAGCGGCCGCGTTGCTGACCATCAAGGCACATCTGCTCGGCTCCAAGCGTTCAAATTTGATGCTATTGCTGGCTCCCAGAAAACAATCTGATGATGTGTTCAGTGCCATTTCGGCTTGAACAGTGTGGCCTTGACGAGGCAAAGTGCAAATTTAAAGTCACTCGTGAAGTGGGAAAGTGGTGTGAGACACACTGGCTGGTGAATAGGGATGGGCCTATCAACAAGCAACAAGGATCCTGCAACGCTTTGCTAATCTGGGGATCCCATGTTGACTTCATCTCACCACGCCCAGGCGCTGTCCATCTCACACTTCTTGGCCTGAGCTGGGACTGCCGGAATTGCATCCGAGCATCTTCATTCCCTGCCACATTTGGGGGGGGGGGGGGGGCGGGGGTGGTACGACTATCACAATTCAAAAGTTCAGAATCGATTCTCGTGATGACTGATATGAGCTGCCTTAATGCGGTGAGGTTGCATTTTTGAGCGCATGCACACGTATGGTGGACTTCGCATCACGGTGAGGGACGGAAGCCTCCAATGATTTGTCGAGCTACATACACAGGGGCGCGCGGTGCAAAGGGAAACCAATTCATCGGTTGCATGTAACCAAGATTTCACTAGGACTCACTCAGCTCTGTCTTGCTGCCTCTTACTGCCTCTTGCTCCCCAACCAGCGCCACATTATGCAGGTTGAGGTTCTGCATCGCACATCGTCCTAGGTCAACGTGATGACCGTCAAAACCATCCGTTTCTGGATAGTGTCTGAAGGAGACAAACAAAGAAGCTGGGCATTAGGGTATTAGGTCTGACGCGTGCACTCATCTGACCCAAATATGGGAACAAACGAAGACAAAATGGGAAAAGCTAAAGTTTCTTAAAACACGGAGACAGCAGCAGTCAAACAATCCATGGACTCAGTCGTGCAGGCGACAAGCTCCACCAAGCAACCAATTTATTCAGTAAAAAAACGGCTCACACACCCAATCGGGGACAAGGGGCCACATATGTTGACAGCATCTAGTGTAGTCCTCCTCGTCCTCCTCATTTTTTGAGACCAAGTGAAACATCTCATACATGTCATTAAAGACATTCGATCACTTGCGGGCCTGATTGAAGTAAAATGATGCTTGAACGTTGTTGCCAGCAAAGGGCAGTCGTATGCTCTGGGAGACGCCTGCGATCCGCCAACAATACTGACAAGTGTAGCTTTCAATGCGCGGAAGGCATCTGAACTCAACCCAACTTGGAAACTGGCCAGCTGCATGAGTCTTCCGTTGAGGTCTCTGGCATGGCTGTGCAGTTGATTTGCTTGCCAAGCCTGACAGGCTGGCCATGACCTGTGCAAAAAGGCTTTCAAATGGTAAAGTGGTGAGTGAGGGCGTCGTTTCTTGAGGGTACGGTGGCCTAAATATAGCAAGTAAGGGAACAAGCGACACCCTGTAAACTCTCATAGTTTGTTGGATTCTCTGAAATGTTTAGGGCGTCCACGGTACCCCTTTGTTTCGTGGCTTCACCCAAGTGATTGCCAACGCTTTAGCTTTGCCTGCGCTTCCTGGCAATCATTCCAGTTTTCCTGCGGGTGGAGCCGTGCATAGCCGTTCCGTTGAGCCTGCATGGGAAGACGCTCCACGACTCAGCTACCGGCGAATTGCTCAGTGAAAAATGAGTTTGACGTCAAGACTCGAACAATGCTGCCGCCCCTCATGAACGACCTCATGTTCCCCACGCGACACTCACCAACAGAGACTAAAATCATTCCATCGACTCTGTGCAAAAACAAGCACATGTCGGCCGACTCGCTCTTGACCAGGCGCCTCCGCCGCCGCTATTTCCCGTTAACCCCGCCCAAGCACCACAGGCTCTGCAGCAATTCACCCCTGGCTTCTCTTTGAGCCACCCGCCCAAGCCTGCTTGTTGCCCGTGAGTAGCCTTCTCGCCCCGGTAAATTGCCTCAGGGTGCCGCAGAACCTACCCCAAAAGCCCTCAACCTAAACCCTAAAAACCTTAAGCCTGGAACCGAACCAAAAAAAACACCAACCTAAACCCTAAAACCCCAAACCCAATCCCCGAACACCCTCCAACAAACCCAAAACCAAAATCACCAAACTCCTCAAACCCTAAAAACCCTAAACCCCAAACCCCAGCAACGCTAAGCCTAACCTCAAAAAAGAATTCTAAGCCCTAAATCCCCAATAAGAAAGGAGACCCAAGCAGCCCCACTGTCCTCTGAGGCGGAAGTTGTTTCGAATGACGGCTGACGTTTTGGCGCAAGAAACTTATCCGGGTGCCCCAAAAATTGCAAAACTCACAGGCGAAGCCTCATTCAAGCTAGCTCCCAGAAACGCTGCCAGACAGGGGTGGCTGATGGTTCTCGTGCCGCGGCAACCCCTCAAACATTCCGGGAGTGCGAGGTCGTAGTCAACATTACTTGCACTCAAACACTGCTTGTGCATGTTGCAGTCGTGTGACCAAAGAACAAAGGATTGGACCACGGCGAACAAGCTACATTGTCTCGGCAAAAACTGCGGGCCCCAAAGCGAATACTTGGAGTACTAGTGCCACCACTAGTGAGATTTGGATTGCATGGGCGGGAAAGAGCCCCTCGCAATGTGACAATCAGGCAGGTGCGAGTGGCCCGTCGATCCTCCCGCACGTGCAGAACAACACAAATTCAAACCGCGTGTACAGACACATGCAAGAGCGAGAATACCATAAACACAATTACGTGCACAAACATCAGCAATAAGGCTGGATAGCATCGAAAGCAAAGTGGAAATGCAAACACATGCTCACATTGCATTGCCTGACAAAGAGACAAAGAGACAAAGAGCAGGGAATACAGAAAGGTGACAAATGGTCATGACCGGTGGCCTTGACCAAGCAAGGGTTTGAAAAAAAGGCAATGACAAGACCTGCCCATTTTCACAGCCCTGCACGATGTGCGGGTTCCTACAAGCCCCCTTGAACCATGCTCCCATCAAGAGGAAACTAACATCAACTTCAGATTAAGCCAAACGACCGTACCACGCAGGAGTTCTTCCCTTTGAGTAAGTAAACCATGTATTATTATGTCTTAATTTTTTAGGGGGTCCTTCTGACTCGGAAGCGTGACTCAATCCGTTTTTTACTCTCCCCACTGCTGAAACAGCGGCAACCTGAATCCAATTGCCCATGAAATTCCATGGGCTAAACCCGTGCTGGGCACCCGTGCAAGGCACCAAAAGCCAGGGCCGTTGAGACTGGTCTGAACTACCTAAGGCAACGGCTTGGCTGGCAATGTCCTGCGGGGAGTTCTTGTCCATCAAGGCTGCGCAATACAAGCGGCGGGTGTGGGGGAGGTTTTTTCTGCCGACATCCAAGCACTTCGACTAGTCTTCGTCACATGTCTGAGATGACGACTAGCGTTGCTGCGCTTGTGACCTGGGCAAACAGCTTTTGATACCAAATAATAACCCGAAGAGGGAATCAGGAAGTATGAACCATATGTTCAGTACAGTACACAATGAATCCGTGACGGATTTTCTTTGCGAGCCGGCTCTTCTTGCAATGGGTGCAGTCTTGACTGCTCGCTGGTCGCATTCAATATCATTCAATGCAGCACTCTGGGCAAAAAGCATTGTTCGTTGATGCACCGCAGGCGCATCTGGGTGTTTCTCAAACTAGCAGACCCCATTTTGGCAAGTGGAAGTCAAGATCAAGCACCTGAAGGGTCCAACGAATTTTGAGAAACACCCATGTGACCTTCTCTCTGAGCCGCGCACCGCAACGGGTTGGAAGAAAAAGATACCTGAGGCAAAGAAACAAATGAACTCTTCCGGTCCCACTGTGCCCCGCTTCAAGTACACGCATTCGACAACAACTTATCATCGCGTTGCTTTCTGATCCCTTATTCAGATTTCGCATCTCTTTCTGGGGGTACCCTTTTCTGGGTTGGTTCAAGGGAACCAAAAGGAGCATCCGCTTTGGGGGTCCCCCATTTTGAGACAACCTGCCAATAGATTCTCAATAGATGGTCCCTGCCAATGGCGGCTTCTCGCACAACGTCTGTGTTTTCATTGGCTTTCCATGGCTTCCCTTCAAACCAACCGCAGCTCCAAAAACAACCAACCTCACAAAGATGGCCCCCCTCCAAACATGGCAAGACCCACATGTTTCATTGCCCATGCGGCCGATGCGCCCAATGCCATGTACATGGCAATGCTCAATGGGAAGCGCCGGGCAAACCTGCCGGGGGGCCGGGGAAACATGGCGCTCGATTGTTTCGTGTGTGTTTTCCCGCAACCCTTTTTGGGGTGCGAAGGAAGCTTTTCTTGAGGGTAATCCTTGGTTTCAAGAAGTCTGCATTGCGGTACTCAAAGCAAGATCAGTGAAAAGACCTAGGCCTTACCCTTCACAGGCACTCCCTTGCAAATTAAGAAGGTAAGAGAAGGCACTCAAAAAGGGTGGTCCAATCCACAACGGGAGATGAACCCTCAGGGGTGGTTTACCGTTGGACTCTCTTTAAACCGACCCCAAAAAGGGTACCGAGCCTCAAGAAAGAAGGAACCACCCCCAGACTTGGCTGTTTCTCAAAGGGTCCCCGAAAGCTTGCTGTCTTCCGCTTGATTTCACCTATAACAATCAAAAGCAGGTCCATTTGGAGAAGGAGCCACCGGAACCCGGCGCCTTCTTGCCGGTGTCATCCACCTGGATGTCATCTGCAAGGCGATTCTGACAGAGCTGCCCCGTCCACTCGATCTTGGCAAAACCGGGGGAGGAGGACGCGGCGGTGGCAACCGCCGGTCCCCGCAAATTGAAGGTGTCCTTTTGGTGTTCCTTTAAAACCAACCAACAGGGGTCCGCCATTTCTTTGAGAGGGCCAACTGGGAATGGCTTTGAGGCTCGGGGCTTACATGCACCAAGGTAAAACAAAACTAAACTTTGTCCTCTATGAGCATGGGCACATTCGGCTTCGTCCCCCGCTTCGTTCCGAATCCCAAATTGTAAAATGGCCGCCTGGAAAGCTTGAAAGAACCTCACATGGACAAAAGGCGAATGTGTGACGAGAACCGAAAACCCAAGAGTAGGGGTCCAGGTTTGTTTGCAGCCAAGTACCCCGAGCTAAGCTTCCCGCGTCGGAACTACGACGCTGCAACATGTGAGGGACGCGGTCAGCCTCGTGTTGCTGGTCTGCCAGGCCCGGTCCGAGCGTGATGAACTCACTCCAATGAGTAGAAACTAAGCCAAAAAGCCGTGGGCGCAAATCCGTAGGTTCTTGGAAGGCTCCAGAAGGATCTATTCCCTTTTCATGCAACACTCAACGCCAAGTGAATCTGCGCAGTCGTCTCCCCAGCAATCCCGCATCCCCGCCTATAGCAGGCACTTGCGCTGTCATAGGTCCTTGTCTAGCTCAACAAAAGCACCAGCAATAGAGCAGGGACGTGTGTCTGCAAAGGTGTGTTTGTGGATTGGGCACTAGTTATCTCAAATGGGCAACACCCCCTTCTTCCCGCAACATGCTGACTGGTTTCCCTTTCGCTTCTCTTAACAAAAGAGCTCACGCTAACCCAGGACCCATTTAGAAAACCGGAGTCAGATATGCAAGCGGTTCGCACTTGGAGCTTGAACCACGGTGAATGCGAATGTTGACCAGGTATGTGTATTCATGAATGTTTTGTGAGGATTCCTTCTTTGAGCTTGGCTACAAGGGAAACAACTGGCAATCAGTCCACTTGGGAGTGTCCCCCAAAAACCTAAAATTACATCACAGCAAATGACAATTTAGGGGCATACCGTTATACCCTTCTCCCACAAGCATAGATCGATTCCCTCAAACATCCCTAGTCACACGGTATGAGGCTAAAACCCCAAATCGCCGAACCCCTCCCAAAAGGAGAAGGAAAAAACACGGGAACCGAAGGCTTGGTGGATTGTTTTGATTCCCTCGAACGTACAAAGCAAACCGCAAAAGCCGAGGGCCCCGCACCGAGGCCACTTCCGAGCCCGCGGGCCAATCAATAGGCGGAGCTTCGGGCGACGTGGACGAGCTCCGGTTTGGGTTGCGCCTTGGGTTTCTTGTGGCGATCTGTTTGGCACTTCACTTCATGTTGCTAAAGTCGCCCTCTTTTTCCCTGAAATGCGGTTCTTCCCGCTGGTTCCTTGTCGTGGTGTCGGCCACTTTCTGGGCGTATCTGGGCGTCCTTCATGGCAGACACCAAGTCCCCCACGAATCAGGGACCACAACAACCCCAAAAAGAGAGCCCTCGACGAATAAAGACGCTTGGGGGAGCAAAGATGGTATGGTGCACAGATATTCTTGCAATAGAAGGCAAGGCAGGGTTCCAGTGCACCAAACCAAATCAAAGTTGGTGGAAAGGTCACCTGTGAACCTGCCAACCAAAAGTGTCTTCAGACCCGATTTGCAGAAAACACGGCGAAGAAACCACTCTCCGCTTGCCTTGAAACAAATCATGTGAACGCCAATTGGCTCGTACCCACTTCACATGCCCCTTGTTCTGCAAAAGGGGCAGAGCCTCTGTATGGCACGCCATGGAAGTAAGTCGTGTGCTTCCGCCAGCTGCGAAACAAGGAACGCCGGTGCGATGCTTGTGTGATATGCTTCAATCAGACTCTCCAAGCCCGAGGCCGGGTGCTTGCGACCGTTGCGCCATAAGTGCTCACCTATAGTGATTGCTCGACGGCTCCAAAGCTCCTCCTCGCGTACTCCATAGACAGGGCAATGTGCCCATTGACTATCTTCTGGCCACAGTTTGAAGCATGCGGCGGACGCATCGACAGCTTGCGCAACTGGCGTTTGTTTTCTGAAACAGCCCCAGAGATTTTCCCTTGACAAACCTGGTGCCAAATTCGTATGGTCTGACCGAAGGGCCACTTCGCGGTGCCTCAAAAGGCGACACGCGTACATCGAACACCTCCCCACTGGCCAACATTGAACAGCTGAAGTTCCGGATGATTGAGCTTCAACACTAGATTTGGGTTTGTCTCTAAAATGAAGAGCCCCGAAGATGGATAGTTTCCTTGTGGTTTCCGCGCAAACCAGCCTACAAAAGGGCACCGTGTAAAACAAGAAGAGAAACCCTTTTGGGAGTTGCACTGCACCTTGGCAGAGTGCGAAATCGCTTCAGCCTTAGTGCCGGGTCGATTCCCAGGACACCTCACACGAGGATGTTGCCTGGCGAGAACATCCCAGTTGTAACCAACATCTCATTGCAAAGAATCTAACCAAAAACCAGACTTGAAAACCAAGTCCCCAAAAACTGGCTCAAAGGAGAACTTTCTGTCATATAAAGAATTCTTGACTCGTGGCACTCCTCATCTGAAGACCACCCAACAGACTCCGACAGCTGCGTGCTGTGGGAAAATCTGGGCTCCAAGTAGCAATCAAAACCTGGTATTAAAGAAGTCTACCCAAGACCCAAGCAAAAAGGCACCAACGGGCCGTCCCCAAATTTCATCTGCCCAAAGCCAGGATCAACATGTGCGGTTCCCACTGTTGTTGTTTCTTTCGCTTCTTGGAGTCTCTCCTGCCGTTCGTGGTTGAACACAAATGCACCACGGACATGTTGGCCGAGATGGCTCTGGCGATCCCTCCTCACCTGCCCGCAAGGTGCGGATACTGCCTCGGGAAACCGAACCCATCGTGACCTAACAAACTCAGAAGGCCTTGCAAACAGGCCAGCACGCCTGGAAAAAAAAAAACTCCAAGCACAAGAATCGGTGAAACCAACCCAGTCAATCCTCTTATGCTGAGCCCGAGGCTGTCGTCAAAAGACAACTTGCCGTGGATGGTATGGTTCTTCAACCTCACTGAGTCCTGATTGCGAATCTGCGCCAAGGTCTGCAAGATGTGAGGCAATAAGGGAAACCCAAACATGTACAACGGCCTCATGGTAGGTGTGCTTGCAATGGTTCGGGAATCAACCGTCGGAAGAGGGGAAACCCCTGCAAAATGCCAGGTAACTGCTAGGGTCCATCAAGACAAGCCAAAAACAGAGATTCAAGGCCCCTGACAACACAATGGAAAGCCTAGGAACTTGCTAGGGCTGATGGTAGCCTTACTTATAGTGTGGGAATGAACCGGTGTAAATACTGATCAAAGGAAGTTTAGTAAGAAAACTTCCGTAATACAAAAAGCTGAATCACAAGATCCGGACGCACTCAGAAGTGAAGTCAGTCAGCACGGAGAATCGCGAAGGGTACCTCTGTTCTGCGTGCGGGTTCGCCACGGTCGCGCCACGGTCTCGCCACGGTTTCGGAATGTTGCCCACTGTAATGCTCGCGCAGACGTGTTCGGAGGTCTATTTTGCGTGGCAGGCGCAGCACTTTGGCAACCTGAGGTGCAGATTTCGTGGCAGGCGCAGCATTTTGTGCCCGTGCAAGGTCAAGTACAGATTTCGTGGCAGGTCAGGTGATAGATAGATAGATAGATAGATAGATAGATAGATAGATAGATAGATAGATAGATAGATAGATAGATAGATAGATAGATCAAATGGAAAGAGAAAGAGAAAGACAGAGAGATACAGAAAGAAAGAAAGAAAGAAAGAAAGAAAGAAAGAAAGAAAGCAAGAAAGATAGAAAGACAGAAATGAAGAAATAAAGAGAAAAGAAAGAAATCAGAAAACAAGGAGACAAAAAAGGAAAGAAAGAAAGAAACGAGAAAGAGAAAGAGAAATAAATAAAGAGATAGAGACAGACATAAAAGAAAAAGAAAGAAAGCAAGAAAGAAAGAAAAGAAAGAAAGAAAGAAAGAAAGACGAAATAAAGAGAAAGAGAAATAAAAAGAAATAAAGAGATAGAGACAGAAATAAAAGAAAAAGAAAGAAACCAATAAAGAAAGACAGAAATAATGAAAGAAAGAAAGAAAGAAGAAATAAAGAGAAAGAGAAATAAAAAGAAATAAAGAAAAAGAAAGAGACAAAGAAAGAGCGCAACCAAAAAGAAAACAAGCCAAGCTCTTCCTATAGGCACTCTTCTCGCTTTAGAAACTTCCGTCCACTGGCTGCGCCGGCTCAACTGGTAAGGAGACTGAAGTCCGGCATGTTCAATAAAGCTGCTACCAGTGTCAAACAGGTGTTGGCTGCGCACAACAACTTCCAAAACCAATCAAAAAGAACCCTGAGCATGCAGCAAGCCGAAGCCTTTCAGCAAAGCCCAGCGAAATTACATCTAAACGTGTGCTCATGCTGCACAGTTTCTACTCATCCCAGACTGCAACTGTTAAAATCCACCTGAAACACTAAGCTGCAATCACGGAACCCATACGGACTAATTATTCTACACGGGCTAGCACAACCAAAACGTCACTGAGCGAATGAAACACAAGATCAGGCGATATAGAGTCAGAGAGGGTGGGTTGTTTTTCAAAATAGTTGGTATATGAGTTTCCCTAAATCAAAGGCGGGATCAATTGCCTCACACCCCCAAATGCAGACCTTGGGAGAAGCGTGCAATCAGGCTGCAGCGCGCACCACGCAAGAATCATACGTGCTGTGAATGGACGAAATCCTGCACCACCCAAGAAGCCCTGTAATGAATTGATTCCCTCCAAATACCAACAAACAATTCTATCCTATGGTTTCAAAGTGGTTCAGGATTTCGTCCACCCACAGTATGTCTTGTTGCTAGAATGTATTTTAAACTTTGACTGGAAATGCGGGAATCTCCCGAAGTAAAGAGCCTTCATGGGGTAAATCGCCCAGATAGATGGAATGTAGCAACAAAAGCAAAGACGGGTTCCCAGATTCATGGCACCCAACCCCGAGTTTGTGTCTCTGATCACCGCCTTCGTTTGAAACTCCAAAGGCCTCCCGTTGCGAAAGGGACCTCGAACCCATCAAATCAGTCTCAAAGCGGTGTACCCCATCTAGGGCAAGCCCCAACATACGCACACGCATGCCAAAACAGCAGTAAGGTTTCCGTCTCTTCAGGCGTGGGACACCATATGCCAGCGAAAACGACGGCATGGCCTACTAAACATGGAAAGTCGAAATTGTTCTCAAAGCATTTCAACCTCATCCAAGGAAAAATGGAGGTGTTGCCTTCGGTTTGCCTTTGATACCTCAAAGAAAACACACCCATGTACATTCACCTTTTGACCCCTAAACCCGCCTTTGTTTCCCCGAGAGTCAGGCAACATCCCCATATCCCGCCATC